GTGATGGGTAAGAGACGTTGTTAGAAGAAAACAGTGACAAAGTATAAGATGGTTACAATGGAGAGAAAGATGGAAGCAATAGAGAAAGTCCTAAAGGTAAGGGAGTAAACGTTATAGCGCCTCATAGTATTGTAAGAATAAACATCTATCTCTTAAAGTTGCAACAAAATTTTTTTACAACAATTGTACAATACTTTAATTGGGGTACCTACAGTGCTCCGATTGTGAGATTGATTGTTCATACCTCCCGTAATCCACACGGTAAATAGCCCTAATTTGTCTAGTCCCCAATGCACCCCTAACTCCTTCCAATTGCTTCATTTTGGTTAAAAAAGTGACTATTACGCCAAAAAAATGCAGAGTATTCCATTGGAGGGAGTGCAAGTGTGCTTTAAGGGTGGGACGGGCCGAGGAGGTTTACCAGGAGGTTACGGGGGTAGGAATAATCATATTTACGAACAAAGCACCGTAGGTTCCCCAATTGCATTGTTGTAAGAATTTATATATATATATATATATATATATATATATATATATATTTATTTATTTATATATATATATATATATATATATATATATATGTATATATATATATATATTGGTTCTGGTGAGAATGCAATCTTAGGAGAGAAATGAGAATGAATCTGGTGCTTTAGATTGTGAGATATAAGGGTCAAGATTTCATCAAAATTAGATGCACCAAAATGGTTCGAAAATGCATCACGTCGAAATGCATCATAAACCTTCGAAAATGCACAATCTCAAAATCTGAGCGCATCATGCAATCTGAGCCACACGATGCATCAGATCTGACGGCTAGATTTTATTCTCATTTCTCTCCACAAGGTGCATTCTCACGGGAACCGGTCCCTATATATATATATATATATATATATATATATATATATATATATATATATATATATATATATATATATATATAATGGGGATTCTAGAGAGGGAAAGGGGATCCGGGCGGCGGACTGTCTGGCGGCATTACGCCCCCACTGTCCGGCGGTATTACGAAGGTAGGGGTTCAAATTTCCGAAGGAATCTACCCGATGGGGATCGACGGTGGAACTACTCCCCAAGAAGGGTTACCTACTTCTCCTCGTACCACGACGGCGAATCTAAACCATGGTCAAACAGATGGGCAGCGACTAGCCCAAGGAGATTCAGGAACTGCGAAAAGTGGGATTCAAATCGAAAGGAAGCCTCAAACCTGCGTTACCACGGACCAAATCTTGATGGGCAAGGTAGGGTCTCAGCTCTCATAGAAAGTAAGGCTTTCAATCTCAGTTCTTCCGCAGGGTTTCTCCATATCTCTGAGTCAAAAAGAGGTATATCTCAGACTATCTCTGTCTCTAAATCTGCTTGTAAATGGTTAATTGATAATCTAGGAAGCCACAGAAAGGGCTGGTCGTTAACCTGGTATGAGGGGGATTCCTCTTTAAATGTTCTTTGGGATTCCAATACTTTTGGTGAGTATATACGGTTATCACAGACTAAAGAGGGTTCTCACTCTCAGATTTTCATACCCGTGGGTTTGGGAAACAAAGGCATTCATCTGTTTCATAAAGCCCTTAAATTCTTTGAAAGTTTCTTCGATGATAAGGAATTGGACGAGGTATTAGTTGGCTGGATTGAGCAGGAGGAAATGCAGAGGGAACAAGATAGACGGGAAGAACAACTCATAGATAGGTTCGAGGAGGAAAAGATAACGAAAATTGTCTCAATCTCCTCAGGACTTATGGGGATAGATATAGCAAGGGCTTCCATGGCTAACTCTCAAAATTCTCCTAAGGAAGGGGATGCTGAAGATGAAGAAGAAGAATTACCCAGGGAGGCCATTAAGGCGGACAAGCTATTTGCCCCAATCTTTCAGAGCTACTTTGAGGCGGTCTTTCGAGAAACAGAGGAATATATTCGCGAAAAGCTTGCGCAAAAAGGTCTTTTGGAGCTACTACAGAAGGGTCTTCTTCAGGATGAAACAGGGGCAGCGTATAGGATTACAAGAGAGATAGTGAAGAGTATGGAAAATGTGGATTTAGTTCTCATCAAGGGCACAAAATACCCAGTCTTTTTGGCCTATGCAAACTATGATGCTGATACTGTTATGGCACATAACAGAGGTGACTCACAATAATTTTGGTTCAGTTTCTCTATTAAGGGGAGTTGCTGTCTCTTTTGGGAGTGCACTTGATATCTGGGTTTTCTTGAGAGCACTTGGGTTATAGTCTGTGTTATTATTTTCCTTGATCTTCTATGTTCCTCAGCATAATTATACGCTTAATGCTTGGGTTTCTGCATCTTGGTTCAGATTATAATAGGGATAGAGTAATCCTAAGGTCTTCAATAGCGGGTGGTTTTCTGCAATATTGGGTCTTTTTCCATCTGTTAGGGAAGTGTTGATGGAAGAACCACCTCAAGAGGGACTGGTTTGAGTCTTTTTTCTCTTGTCAGGTAGGATGCTCCACCTTGGGGATTGGCATCAGGGGCACAACAACAGCATCACGACAGAAACCTAAGGGTGTTATCTTATGCAGTGTACCCCATGTGAACTTCCAGGATCATGGATATCACCTTTTTTCTTTGAGCTAGTTATGTTTTGGGCTTTTCTTCTCTTGGATTTTCCTCTTCATCTTTTTTTCGGCCACTTTGTTGGGGGCCAAGGCCACCCCCACCTTGTACCTTTCTTTTAATAAATTTCCTTTATAAAATATATATATATATATATATATATATATATATATATATATATATATATATATATATATATATATATATCCCCTCGGCCCGTCTCGGCCCGCCCGCCCCTAAAGCACTCTTGCACCTCCTCTAATTGGAGTACTTTGCATTTTATTGAGTTTATGGTAAATTTTTTGACCATAATGAAATTTGGTACAATTAGAAGGGGTCCGGGGGTGCGTTGGGGACTAGGCGAATATGGGTTGTTTACCGTGGGGGTTACGGGAGGTATGAACAATCAATCTCACAATCGGAGCACGGTAGGTACCCCAATTAGAGTATTGTACAATTGTTGTAAAAAAAATTTGTTGCAACTTTAAGAGATAGATGCTTATTCTTACAATAATTGTTTACATCATTTCTTACAATAACGCAATCGCAGCACTTATGGTGCTCTGTTTGTAAATTTTTTTTGTTCTTACCCCCATAGCCGCTCAGTAAACCCCAAACTTGGCCCAATCCTAACCCACCTATGCGTCTCCTCCAATCGCACAAATATTTATTTTTGACTTTGTGGTCAAATATATGACCAAAATGATCGGTATAGGAATTGGAGGAGACGCAGGGGTGCGTTAAGGCCAGACCAGGGCGTGGGGGTTTCTCGGGCGTTATGGGGTAGAAACAATCTATTCTACGAATGGAGCACCGTAGGTGTCCTTATTGCGTTGTTGTTAGAAATGTTGTAAAATATTTGTTTTAAGAATAAGTATCCTAAAGGTAACGAAGTAAATGTTATATTGCCTTATAATATTAAGGGATAGACACACACACACACACACTAATTTCTACATACCCCTTAATACAATAAGGCGCTATAATGTTTACTTTGTTACATTTAAGACTTTCTCTGTCCCCTCCATCTTTCTCTCATTTATAGCCGTCTCTTGCTTTCTTACTGTTTTCTTCTCACGACATCTCTTCCACATAACTACCCCACTACCTTGCTCTTCTTCACCTCTACACCGCTTCACGACCACAATGGCCTGCTTTTTTATTATTTGCCCTAACAATTTGCACTTCTTTGTTTGTCCTTTGGCCTCCAATAAGGCAATCAATGAGAATGAAAGTTGGAGTTGGCAACCAACGATTTGGACCAGTTGCTGATTCAAGTGTTAAGGTTCTCGTTTTAAGAAGAAGTTGTTCCTAGAATGAAAGTTGGAGTTGCCAACAAACAATTTGGAGCAGTTGCAAATTCAGTTGCCAAGTTTACTGAAAGCTTTGAAATGGTTCTTAAAACTTTTTCCGAGCATGCATCTGGGAACACCAAAGTAGGCATCAGCTTGGAGGAAGGGGGCATGCAAGGATGTCACCACCATGAATATATGGGGCCTCTACAACCCCAAGTTTTTTGCTCTCAAATATGTTGTGGGAGATATCTGCACTGTGCTACGACTGGATCAGATTGTAATGGCAAAACCAGCTGGCGCTCCCAAGGAGAGGAGCGCAACCGGAAGGAGGAAATGATGAGGACAGAGTTCGAAGAGTTATCTGTATCTTTGTGTTGTGAACTCCTGCTATTTAGAGAGAGAGAGAGAGAGAGAGAGGATTTCCTTTGCCTTTTTCACACTCACACCAAGTTTTGGCTCTAGAAAGAGGTTTTTGATGATCTATGGTTATTGTTGTTAAAATATTTTGGCATTGATTTGTGTCGTTGAACTGAATGAATGTGCCCAGAAAAGGTTCTGATTTAGTGAATTAGGGATAGCAAGTGTCTGAATTTCTTCTTCTTCTTCTTCTTCTTCTTCTTCTTCTACTTCTTCTTCTTCTTCTTCTTTCTTCTCCTTTTCCTCTTCCTTCTGATTTTGTCCTGTCACCCAATGATTGGGAGCAGTGAAGCGGCGATTGGGGTAAAGGCAGAGCAGCATGGCGGTGGCGGTGGTCGGAAGTTATAGGGTGGTCAGATCTGCTCCTCCTCCGACATAGCCGCCAATGATTCCATAGATCAACAAATCCCTCCTTGCCTTCACCGTCAAAACCTTGGATGCAAGAGATTCATCATTCATCCTTGCCAAGGTTTCCTATCGCCTTCACCACAGAACCAGATCTATGAGGGTGGAGAGTTACCGAGGGATGTCAGCAACAAGAGTTAGAGAAGTCATTCGCGGTGGTGCCGTAGAGACATCGTTGCCGTGCCATAGTCATCGTCAGCAGCGCCGGAGAATCATCATTAGCATTGACGATGCTGACGATGACAAATGGTTTATTGTTGGACGGAGGGAGTATAAAGACACACACGCACGCACACACCATATCAATCCAAATATTACGATACACCCTCAATCCTGCAATAGATTACATTTTTTTCATCTCTCGAAAACCATTGTTTATTCAGATGCCTTATTTTACTATAACTATCAGATGCACAAGTTCTATCTTAAGTAAAAGCTCAACCACAACCATGCACCAATTTATATGATTGATTCATTTTGCTTGCAACGAATAACCAAATAGAAAATGGAGTTGGAGTCTGAATTATAATCAAGTTAAATTACCTTGGAAGGCATTTGACTTTTAAGAATAGAACTTCGCAGC